CATACAGATGTGTACAAATTAAAATATCAATTAGGTTTCACGGAAGAGAGAGGTTTAATAACAATTTTAAGATGTTGCAGTAAAAGCACTGTTATGCAGAAGATAGGCCTAAGTACAGCAAATTTGTCCTTATCTGTAATATTTTTGACACTAATTGACAGACTTTTGAAGCTTTTGATTCCAGCAGAGTACGCATATTCTCAAAACATGGAATGCTAGGAATTTAAGTTTGAACCTAGTTCTTATTCTTTGTGTTATCAGGGTAATGGGGGCAGGAAGTACCTCTGCAACTATGTAAATTTTACAGCATTACTTGGTAGTACAACACACTGATACTTCTGTTGTTAAATTGTTCACTTTGCTTCTCAACCATCCTGGAATCAGGAATTGTTTTTATGTACTCACCAAGTGCGAGACACATCTTTGACTTTGTGTTGAAGACATAACAGAGCCCTACCAAGAATGGAAATTGGGAGCAGAGTTGATGGACATAGCACTCTGTTTGGTATTTTTCTCGGGCGCCTTCAACGGGGATATCCATGATTTTCATCGCATATGTCATGTTGTTATCCATGCCGCAGTTCTTCCTCGTCATGTACACCTTTTCAAAACCTGTAACGGTACACGGTTATGATTCTTGTTTCTTTCTGCTCAACAGTGGTCTCAAGTATTTGTAGACTGTCTCTTTATAAAGATCATTATCTGTACCAAGATAAAGACACAACTGTTACTAATTATTAACCATTATAATGGTTACCATTTTTCAGTCTACTCTTTCCAGATAACATTCAAGAAATTGATCAGCAATGAGAAAAAGAATGGTATGGTTGGCAAAATGTGTTTTTGATTTAATTTAAGCATAAAAGGAATTTGAGTTGTTTCCAACTGTTCTCAACCACACCATGACGTCTTGAAGCAAGAAAATATTTCTGATGCTTCATTTTGCTCAAACATTATTAATAAAGATTTGGTTCAGAGATTGTGAATGTTGTGGTTAGATATATCTATTGATCA